ATTTTGTGAACAAATTTGCAATTATTAGATAACATGTGGATGAATATAAAACAAAAGTGATAACACGCAGCTGAATATAGAACAAAAAGTGATAACACGTGTTTGAATATGGAACAAAAAGTGATAACACTTGGATGTAAAAACAAAACGTGATAACATGTGGATGATATAAAACAAAAAGTGATAACACGTAGCTGAATAAAGAACAAAAAGTGATAACACGTGGATTGATATAGAAGAAAAGGTGATAACACGTGGATGAATATAGAACAAAAAATGATGTCGCGTGGCTGAATATAGAACAAAAAGGGACAACACGTGGCTGAATATAGCTGAACTTATATTCAGTATGTTTACATTCTATTAATTCTTACTAGATATCCATATCAAAATTTTGTTCAACTATAATTTTGGGTTTTTCCATGGTAATCTTAAAAAGCAATGAGCGTTTGTATAACACAGATAATAAACCGGCTCATTTGTTCAGTTACAGATTTTCAACAAAAATGGCTAAATAAACATGTGGTTACAGAATAAGTATCAACCATTGATTCTAACCTATTGTCAAACTACACTTTCTTTCGCTCACAATGAAAAAGATAAAAACACTCATTGCATATACCTCTGTATGAACAAAAAAAATTCATATAATGATTGTTGTTTAAAATTGACGCAAAACTTAAATTTGAAGTAAATTTGAACATGACAGAGGAATACGAATTTAATTGTCTATATTGACAACAGAAAATGAATTTGATATCAAAATACGTTATCTCAATTTAAAACATCAAGATTGACAACATAAAATGAATATGATATCAAAGTATGTTGTTTCATTTTAATACGTCTAAATTGACAACATAAATGAATATGATATCATAACATACTATCTCTATTTAATTTGTCTAATATGACAACGGAAAATAAATTTGATACCAAAATATGTTGTCTCAAATAAAAATGACAATCACATCTAATGAAAATAAAAACCATTAAAAACACAAACAATAACCATACCATAGGATACTCAAGTTATTGTGCATAAATTACATTCAGACATGATAGTTAATTATTCTCATACATAAAACATAGATTGTCTTACCTCTTTCGGAAAGTTGAAATACTGATATAAACTAAAAGAAAAAGAATATTAATTTTAAATATATTTGTTTTAGCTCGATTGCGAAAAAGTTTTTGCAATTTATATTAATCACCTGCGAGTCCGCTTCTTGGAACTCACTACATGTAGTGCTAGTGTCATATGAAGAAACATGGTTGTGACCCGAGTAGGACTCGAACCCATGATCCCTGGGATAATGGCAGACACCTTTACCACTCGGCAACTGCTCCCCCAAAAGACTACTGAGCCAAAACGTACAAGAGCATATGACAAAATATGGAATTAACTTATTCTTTGATTACTGTTACTGGTCTGTCGTTGGTTGCCTTTTTTGGCATGCAGTCAGTTTTTCTTTCATCGCAGTTCGAATCTCATTAATATGAGCGCAGTACAGAATAGGGTTTATCAGTGAATTCAACGCTTGTGAAGTAGGAATGACATGCATAATTGTTTGATCAGTTTTTCTCGGGTCTAGCACAAAGGCGAGTATAATTGCCGGCAAAGTCGTTATGTTTGTCACCATCAGCACTGCAAGTAAGTGGTAAAAGGCTCTTCGATTAATCGTCTGCCTGTTGGAACTTGTTCCAGCCACCTGGTGTGTCGTTAGTCGCTTTAGAATAACTACAGCACTGATGTAGAATATATTTATAAAGAGTAAAGCGACAATCTGTAAAGCTGATACAGCAAACAGTCCGATTGGGTTTTTAAAGAGATCTGGTGACAAACAACCATTTATCTCCGGTTTGTCAGTCATCCCTGTAAGAGTTGATGTATTTGAAAATATAAAGCTTACTAACCATGGTAACAGTGTGAAGGATATTGTCCATTTCAGACTTGGTTCAGCTCTTACTTGTAATAAATCGGCTCTCCTCAGCACTCTCCACCGTTTGAAGGACAAAATACACAAGTTTAAAAGAACTGCATTTTGTGCAGCAGGAAAGGTTGTTATAATGAAAGCACATGCTTTACTGATTCGATTTACACTGTCTATTAATGTCAGACAAAATACAGAACAAGAAATTCCAGCAAGTGCGTCACTTATACACAAGCTGAAAAGCTGCTGAAATATTACCTCCGGAATGTTTGGTCTATTTTCCTGCAAGCATTTTATCATACATACATTTAAAGTCCATGTCAAAATTGCTATTACCGCACTAATTGTAATCGACTCAAAACTTATATTGTGAAAAGATTCCGTTTGGTTGCCGAATGTAGCATTTGCCGTAGAATTTACGGATAAAACATTTTCAAATCCTGTCGCATTCATTTTTCTAGCATGTTCTCCATACCTGAAATGGTCTCAACTGTTCGTCTCTTTGGAAGAGCCCAACCTGTATATATTGCAGCAAAAGTTCATCCTCATTCGTTGATGAAAAGGTTTATCTATATCCCAGGGTGCGAACTCATGTAGTTCATATACATATCATAATTACATTTCTGTAAAAGCTAATTATTTGTCACGATTAATTAGACTTCATCTTATTTTGAAATTTTAATGTTATGAAACAATCCTCGTTTCCCAAAAGAAAATCAATTTCACGGGCAGATAATTTCAAAACGTCAGCTTTAAAATGAAAAGTTTAAATATATTCAATGAAAGAGTTCATTCTGCTTAAACAAGACTAGATGGAGTACAATAGTGACTTGATATGGATTTTTGGAATCGAAAAATGAAACCGAGGCTACATAGATTGGAAATCAATCATGATTTATATCAAGAGATCAAATTGTTGAAACGCTTGTAGTTCATTGATGAAGTAATATGGTGCTATTATACAAAATTTGGTACAAATGTGTACAATATTGAATTCTATTGGACAAGTACACAATTTTCAAACCTATATTGGACAATGCGCAAGTTGAGTTTTATTCATGTTTTTTCAGCTGTGTATGTACGAATCCAATAAAATCAGTATTGTACTCAACATGTTTTCTCTCCATCATGTTTTGACAGAACTTTGGGCTTGAGCAAAACATGGATTTGATATGGATTTTTGGACTCTGAAAATGAAAGGGACATTAGACGGTGTACAGTTGATATGGACTTTTATTTTGACTGGGAAAACAGGGTTAGATTAAGTATATTAATGATCAGATATGGACTTTTGAACTCGGAAAATGAAAACGAGGCTAAATTGATTACATAGAAACCAATAATGATTTACAAAATGTATATTGGAAGATCACAGCGTGCAAACGCTAGAAGTTCATTAGTTACTTTTTAAAAGGTGTGAAATAATATTAAATGACAGTGCAATTGTTGTTGTTATTTTTGTTGAATTTATGTATATCACTATATGCCGTGAAGCACCATGAAGATTATTTCACATAGCATGCGGTTATATACCAATTCTGTCACGGTTTAATCAGAACTTGACAAGATTGGGTTCTGACAAAAAATCCAGTTTCTTTGTTGTTGTTTTTTTTTGATAAATTTCATGTGGTTTCGGTAATTATTTTAAAAGGATTTTGCTCAAGAGGAGTTTATCGATGTATTCCGTTCATAATGTCATATGTTTCCATAACTGTGTTAGGATTGTCAGGTTTCGAGGCTTGTTAAATAGTACATGTAGAAAACGTTTGTTTAATTTCACAATTTTTCATATACTTTTATATAAAAATGTAATATTTCATTTATTGCAACAAATTCATGCAGTGTGTAATTTGAATGTACAGTATTAAACGTACAGAGTCGTCAAACTTTGTAAAAGAAAATGATATAATCGCATGACCTTCCTTGTTTTCCGATTGATACGCAATTGGAACGTCTTCGGCTATTATCTATGATAACACTGACGGAAAGGGCCGGAAATTTGCGAGCGATTGCCAAAACACGATCCGCAGTCCCTCTACGCCGTCATCTCAAACAGGCTATACATTTTAAATGATTTTGTCATCTTTCTATCTAGACAAAACTATTATTAATTTTAGGGAAATTATTAAAGTAGTACCAATTGGCAAACAGATCAGACGGCCCCGATGTGCCGGCTGATCTTGGTCTGCACTGGTTCTGTGTCCGTTAATATGATAAGGTTTAAAGAAGATTTAGAAGAATATAAAAACAGTATGTAATTGTACATTTAAAGGTTGATATTTGCAAAAGCGCCTTTATTGAAAATCCTCATTTCTGAAAAAGCGTCTTAGGAATGATAATGTTCACTTCACAACAAAGACAATCACCACAAAAGTTTTGAAAGAAGTATCGCTACTCCCTTCGTACAATTTACAAGTCAGCAAATTCCCCTTCTTTAAACTTACAGGTTCCTATTTATACCGGAAATGAAATGTATGTTTTATTTATTTATTTTATTTATTTATTTATTTATTTATTTATTTTTTTATTTTTTTTTTATTAATTTATTTCTTGTTTTTTATTTATTTTTTTTTTTTTATTTATTTATTTATTTATTTATTTATTTCATTTTTTTTTTCATTTTTATTTATAATTTATTTATCTATTTATTTATTTACACTTTAAAATAAAACTCGACAATGTGAACATAACAAATAGTGGGTTTACAATTTATCTACGGACGGCGGAAATAATACACTGATACGTTTGTTACAAAATTCATTGGAGCACAGCGTTAAAAACTGTATAGTTTATTTAATGATTACTTTCATTAATGTTTAATTTATCAGCTAACATTATACATGGGGATAACGTGCACAACGTTAAATCAATATATCTTTAAAGCTTTTAATCAGGAGATACGTCAGTATTGAAATGAGTTTTGTTATTTTACGATATCTTTAATACATTGTTAATTGATTGCTTGCGTTGCTAAAGAAATCCGCCGAGCTTCTTGTTTGTTTGTTTCTATTCATTCGGATTAGTCCATATTTTAACCAAAGGATTTTTTTTTCTTCATTCTTCATTTTTTTATAAAATTTAGATTTTGTAAATGGTTAGAATAATTTCATAGGAAATTAGTATTTTTCTGAGGATAAATATTGCATTTATAATCGTAGTAGTTTCTAATATTTATTATGCAATGATTGGTGAAAAACAAAGCATTCGAGGTCGCCGAGACTTGCCAACAAGGGGCGCGGGGAGCTCGTCGGGTTCGGACGATGGTTCGTTACCCAGCCTGACCCCCGAGGACAGGGAATGTTTAAATGCTAAAATGTTTTTGATGACGCAGAAGAATGAGGATTCGCTTAGTCTGTAAGTGATTTTAGATATATTTTATCTACTTTTTAAAATATCTTTATGCATTGTTAACATGCAATAGAAATCACTTTTGAATAATTTGTAGCTTAACTAAACAAAAGTGTATTCCTTTCTTATTTCCTATTTTAAAGATGGATTTTGATATCATTATTTTCACATGTATTTTCTATATATGTTAATTTGGTAATTAGAAAGCTTACATGTACTTATATTTGTCACAGAAAGTATAACTGGACCAAAAGCTACAAAAATCCATTTTCTTGCATCATGTATATGTAGTTATTTCGCATTATGAGACAATTTACACTCACTGATTTTTTGTATAAGAATAACAGAAAACCAAAATCCCGTACAACTCAGTGTTAAGCTTTAAATGGTTGCCTAATGGTTTAGGTGTCTGCACTCAGTTCAGGAACTCGTTTGTTAGAGGCCTATATTTTTATAGCACCAGTGCTGGTTTGTTCATGGAAGAAAACTCGAAAGTGATTGATATAAGGCCTAAACATTATTTGTTTCTAAAAACCAGACAATGTGATAATCATGAAATAAAACTATGCTTCGCCATTATGACGAATGCATAATAAAAACATAGAAAGAAATTCAATCCCGATCTCACCTAACCTACCTTACAGATTTGTCTAACTGTAGTCCCAAAGACAGACTTGCCTAACTGTTGTCCTAAAGACAGATTTACCTTACTGTTGTCTTAAAGACAGATTTGCCTTACTGTTGTCCCGACGGTTGATTTGCCTAACTGTTGTCATGCAAGAACTTGTTTCACAATCGAGTTCAAATAAATAATATAATTTTAAACAAACTGTAAATCAGACTTTGAAAAATGTTTCAATCTGTATTCTTCCTAGATTGACTATTTATTCAATACCGTCGCAGCTCATGAAATATTTTGCTTTGGACTCTTATGATCTTCTTTCCGTTATAACAATCCGTATGCAATGTGTAGTGCGCAATGTGTAATGTACAATACACAATGTGTAATGACTATGTGTAATGCACAATCTGTAATTGACCACCAACTGCATTACTATTACATTCTTTACTTATTTACCTAGGTATGACCATCTTTCAAGTCTTATAGCCACGCTTTTAGACGGTGAAACTGAAAATGGTTTGGCCCAGCTTGAAGATATTAGCGAAACTATGAAAAGAGAGCGTATCGAGGTTCCATCTGCTCCTATCCGAGATGAGCCTGACAAGTCATACACAGAAAGATTAGCAAAAGCACAGTGGGAACTGTTCAAGGTTACATTGGTTATTATATGAAAATAAAACTTATTTTTTAAACAAAATCCTATAATATACCTGTAAGCACGTTACAAAATTATTTGAAGGTTTCATAGTAAACATGTTCAAAGATCTGAGCTTATTTCATACTCTATTTAACGGCCATCCATGTAACCATTAATGGACACTCTACCCTTTTCACTAAATATGGGTTCAAATTTCGCAACGGACTTTGGATTATCTCACGCGAGTAAGCTTTCCATCTCCCTTACGGAAGGTTGTTGGTTCTACTCGGGTGTCTGCTGCATGAAATTATGAACGGAGGGGCATTCGAGGTCTTTTGTTCACCAATTAAGGTGCAAAGACGCCGTATATCAACAGTGTAGATGTGACTTAAAATCCAACATAAAATATTTCAAATCAACGTCCAATGGATAATCACCATGTACACTTGTATTTCTTTGTTATGCCATATAAATGCATTTCTTTGTTATGCCATATAAGACCATTGCCTTGTTTAGAAAGTACCAGACTGTGTGCAGGACGATCTTGACAATCATTTTGAAGAAGGTAATGGGTTTAAAAGTGTTCCGGACATTCTTCGACAAGCAGCGTTCTTCGAGTTAGCCGGAATCGGACTTCCCCGAGAGGAGATAGTTAGAATTTCTTTAGCATTAACAGAGTTAATCACGCAATGCCCCTTCATAAAGGTATCTTTTTTCGAATTTTAAAAAGAAATGTGAAAATAAATCAACTTCAATCAAATTTCCTCAATGTTTTGTACTGTTCTTTCGAATATTTTAGTTGATTTCAAACAATATTCATTTTCATCACGGATACAAGCTTAAATATTAGTTAACTATTTATAAATCTGAATGTCCGCATTCAGTAATTGTAAATCGTACTGCTGGTATATGATTTTTTATGATTTACGCATAAGCAACCTAAGGTTGGTAACATTAAAAAATGCCTGGAACAACCTGCTTCTTAACAATTCGAGGCAAAATCTAATAATTCAATATTGAATTATTTTACTTAAAGGTCCATTCAAGTAGAAATGATTTAACACATTTAACGTGATATTCAGTGTTGTTCTGAAGGGTAAAATGTTTACCCTTACAACAGAAGTCGTTAATTTCTGAGGCTTAAAGTTATAAATAGACATCAGATCAAGTTAATTGCAAAGTAAATCAGAAAGCCGTTTTAATAACAATTTTGGTTTATATACATGTATATATATATATATTTATCTGAACTCTACATACTTTTTACAACTTCTTTAAATGTTAATAATGTCTTATGACACGTTTCAGAGTATCCGTTTCTGGGGGAAAATTATCGGAATTACACGGAATTACTACTTAGCTGAAACGGAATTTGGCGAAGAAGATTACGAAGATGACGCTAGTATAACGAATGACACTGAACATGAAACCGATGAATTGCCGAGCGGTCTGCGGGTGCGTACTTTTCAAATTAGCGCATTATGTGTTGATGGATTTTAAGTTGCACCGACACTGGCCGTATGGAAGGTGACAATTACGAAAAAACTAACTTATTTATAGGGGCTACCCAGACCAATCCGTGCATTATTTCAGGCGCGATTGGCAAGCATCTGTGTAGAGCCACCGGTATTCCGTGAGAGTGCTGAGTGGCTTCCTCTTATGATTGATATCAAAGCCTTTGGAGTTAGAACCCACGGCGGTGAGGAGAAGTCGAAACCCCCAAAACACCCCCACATTTTTGCTTTAAGGGCTTACGAATAATGGGGGTGTTTTTATGTAAAAAAAATTTTTTCCTTTTTTAAAAAAGGGAACCCCTTTAATTTTGTAATGGAAAAAGGGGTTGAAAACCCTTTAAAAGGCTGCATGACCCCAATACCCAAATTTTAAAAAAAAATTTTCAAACTTGAGTTTTTATAAAAGAAAATGGTTAAATTCCCGGAAAAAAATTACATTTTTAAAAATGTTTATGAAATTTGAGGATTTGCTTTTGAATATTTTTTTTACCCTTTTTTACAAACGTGTTTTAAAGCAGTCAGTGCAAAATTTTGGGCACATTTTGACAGTGTTTTTTGGGGGGAATTTACGCCGATTGTAAGTACCGTTTGCAAAGTGTAAAATTCTTTCTTTGTTCGCTTCACAATACTTTACTCCTTAATAGTCTACTTTTTTAACATTTTCATGAAAATTAGTATGATTCCGGAGTCATGCTGCTTCAAGCTATTACGAACGACTACATGAGTCTTTACAAACTTGGTGCCAGAAAAGACACCTAGTACCTTCATATCTTCTCTGTAACTTTTACTCTGTATATTTCAAGTACATGTATTTTCAATTTCAGGATGAAGAAAGTAGTGTATATGACGGTATGTATCGATTTCTAGATATGACGAATACAACTTTTATCTAAAACAATGCAACATTATGCTAGTCACATTTAATCATGTATTAAGCAAAAAAAGCAGAAATGACGCACGAGTAGTATGAAAGGTGTTTTGCAGTTCAAAATTATCAATAAAAAAGTGGTTCAAAGTCATTCGTTTACTCCGTTTTTTACCGGGATAATTATTTTAAATAAAGATTACCTAAATAGACCCTATCGGAAAAAAATTAAGGATAACTCAAAATTACGACTTTCAATCTATTTCTCAGTATATTCTACATTATTTTTTGTTTGTTTTATTGCCCTAGCTGATCTATGTAAAAGATCGAATTTTAATTACGTTTTTTAGGCTTTGGGGCCTCAGATGACTTGCTTTTATCTTAGATGTTAATAGATATGAACATGTTTATGAATGATATAATTATAGATATGATGTTGCCAGATGACCTGAAGCCGTTGTATAAGCCCCCGCCGAAAATACCGTGTGAGCCAGCCGGAACTGGGTTGAACAAGAAAGTGTATTTTGTAACGTCAGAACGTGAGTTGAGAAAACATCGTTTTGTTAGGAAGCCTTACATGTAGCAAATGAGACATGTAATGTGTTGCAAGCATTTAACTACAACTAATTGTGTTCTACTCATTTAAAGAATTATACGTAAACTTGCAGTAAAAGGGATGACTTCTTACAAAACTAAGTTCTATTTTCAGTTATCGGGTCATTACGTATGCGTTATATGTTGTATCGTATATGATACCAAAATGAAACGAACAATGAATTCTGCACTACAGTACCCCAGGGTCTTTCAAATTCTATATTTTAATCGCAAATACTGTTGTGTTATTTCAGCAACCATAGTAAATTATGTTCTTTTGTTGCAGCCGGATTGCAGTGGATTCGACTTCCACACGTAACACCAGCTCAGATACAGGTTGCCAGAAAAATAAGAAAGTTCTTCACAGGTAACCTAGATGCCCAGGTTGTTTCCCATCCGCCATTTCCTGGAATTGAAAGGAATTACCTGCGCGCGCAGATTGCCCGAATAAGTGCTAGTACGCAGATTTCACCTCTTGGTTACTTCCGGTTTGATGACGAGGCTGAGGAAGAAGAAGCTGTTGAAGAGGCGGGTAAGAAGCTCAAATCATCTTCAGGGTACAAAAACATGTTAAGCTTCCAATTATCTTTATTTTATGTTTTTGTTTAGGGTGGGGGATCAAAGGCTAGCTCGCTCCCTAAAAAGAGAAAAGGGAAAAAAAAAACTTTTTGTTACCCATTAAAAAAGGGGTAATTTAAAAAGATTTTGGATTTTATCAAAGCTTAAAAGTAAATTTTTTTGGAGCAAAAAGCCCTTTTGGTCATTCCCTCAGTGAACTCCCAAAACACGTGTTATGATACCTTTCAAGGAAAAATTTCGCTATAGCAGTTAGAAAATTTTTAATTTTTTCCCCTTGAAATTTTTAAATGTTCAATTTTTAAATGTTTTTTCCCTTAAAAGCATCTTAAATTTTCCTAATACAAGTAACTTATATTTTTAAAATCAAGGTGATGGTCGTTGGGGGAAAGTAATTTTTAAAGGAAACCCGGAGTTTTTAAGTGTGCCCAAAGAAAGACCCTTTACGATGGTAGTTTACAGGCCTGGGTCCATCACTCACAAGCCATATTACCACAGGTATATTAATACTATTATGACATATTAAATGCACTCACAAACAGCAAAGGCAATTGGCATGTACATGTATATCATTGAACATTGGTTTTCTTTATGTACTTGTCAGTTTTGCTTTAAGTTTACAAGTACATGTAATAAGCGACTTGCAACTTATTCTTATGAATAGTTTGACCAATTCAATTCTTAAAGAGTTTATAAGGATGAAAATAATTCATACCCAAGTATTGGTGCTTTATAAAATCGCATCCTTCCTTTACTTCCTTCATTATTTCCATAATAATCGTACTGTAGCTAGTCCAGCAGAAATGTCAATTCACGTCAATTAAAAGTAGAAATTAACTCAGAATGATACGTATTCAGGGAAGAGCGACTTGGTGGAACCCAGCACAACCAAAGGAAGAATTTAACGAGGAGGAAGACGAGGAAGAGGAAGAAGAAAGAAATGAACCAGACGAACCCGAACCGGAAACTGGACCACCTTTACTAACTCCTCTTGCTGAAGATGAAAGTGAGAAATTGTATTAATTTTCAGATTGATTAATTTTGTCCTTATTTTATCTCCCTTGACGATTATTCACCGATTATAATTGTTCCTGGAATTCCAATCTAAATCTCCGAGCTCTAGCTGTATATTCAAAAATACAACAAGATTTCCATAATTTCTATACTGATGTGTGAATTGTGAGACGCATTTGGCAAGACATTCAATAATACAAATTCAAGCTAATTTAACTTTTACTGGTTTCATTTAACTTTGCCACTAGGTGTTGGAAGAAGCCCTGCTTGGTTAGCACGAACAAGTTCTAAATTTGTACCGGAATATGGTATTGCTGTACTCCACTCTAATGTATGGGTAGGTGCAACAGCATTTGCAGCGGATAAGGGAAAGTAAGTTTTAATGTGTCATATACATATATATTTTGCTTGATTATGCACGAATATATATGATGGTTACATGCATGGCTGCTTTGTGCTTAATATATAATAAACATTCAAGTACGTCATTCAACACCAACATGCCGGCCACCATGTACCACACTACTTTAATAAGAAAAAGTCTTTTGATCGCCGTATAGAATAAAGGTTTTTAAATTATTTTTTTACAATATAATCGTCGATTTTTCGATTGCGCAATTTAAGTTTGAACGTAAGACGTTGTTTTATACATTGTACATATTAACTGCTTAAAAATTTGGACAAGTTTCAAATTAGAAAATGACAGACCTCGCTCCAACTAAATTGTATTTTGAGTCATATCAACTTTACCTATTTTATTGCCTCTAGATACTTTGAAAATCTGTATATCGGTTGGGGCCAAAAGAATCTTGAAGTCGTTTTTGAGCCTGCACTACCCGAAATGCCTCTTACTGAATTTCCAAGTGGACCGGAAATAACGGAAGCAGACGACCCAACGCCGGAAGAGGAAGCAGCTGTGCGCGCAGCTCTCCAAGAAAAGGAACTTGAAGCTGAATTCGAACAAAATATGGACGACGATGACGATGAGGATATTGTCGACGATGATGGTGAAGGGGGTGCACAGTTTGATTAAATATCGTATTCATATGTATGTGAAATGTTTGCAATTCGTCTATGAGAAGGGAACAATGATCATTTATATGTTTACATCGTTTTAATTAGGAACAGGTGTAACAAGAACTATAGGTTCTAAATAAAACGCTTTAAGGTTTAATACATGGAACAACTTGCTATTTGTTTGGTTAATAGTGGAGTGCTACAAATACGATTTCCACCTGTTGAATTTCTTTTTGAAAGGAGATAAAATATTTGATGTTCTTTTGTCAATTCTTTTAATAAAATTTACAAATTCGTTTGAACCTTATCGTTTATTATTTGAAAATTTAAATAGATGTTAGATTTAAATTTCGAAATAATTAACCTAGTAGTGTCTGCGCTTTCACGTTATTCCTATTTAGGATCATTGATTCAGATGACTAAATTGTGTAAGCTGAGTAACTTGTGGTTGAACCTTGACGCCATTTGTACTTTTTATATGGGATAATCTTAATTTTTTTATTATTGACCGTTCGCTTGACATCATTTTCAAATTTTAAGTGACCTGACTTCTTTTGTCCTCTAGGTTATGTATTAGTTACTTCCCTTTGCTTTTTATTTAAGTATATAATTACTTTGTGACATTATGCTCATATTTTCATAGTAAAGTTGAGCTGAATTGACTTTATATTTCAAAAGATTGACTGTTTAAATGGTGTTTGACCAAGAGTTGATATTGGAAAAAGGTAAATTCTAAAAAGATATTTACAGAAATATCGTTTGGATCCGGGGGTTATTTATTTTCTTTATGACGTAAATTATCAAATTAAAAGGAATTATGGCAAAATGAATATTTATTTTTACACTCATTTTATACCTTTAGATGGGCATAATGTCACTTTAACCAGTATCTGTTGTTAGTGGGTTATTTTTTGTTTTTGTTTTGTTTTAAGTCCCACCATGCAAATGAAAAGGGGGCATATATATCTAGTATTACCAGTGTTCGTGCATGTGTTTGAAAACATTGTTCGGCTCAAAACTTTGTCATTCATCAAGGGATTTTTACACAAATTGGCACAAATGTTAAGCATGATAAGACAGTGTGTCATGCGCAGGACCCATACCCCTGACTCTAAGATGAAGGTCATACTTGAGGTCAAAGGTCAGCAGTTAGAAAATCTTGTCCCGCACATAACTCTGTCATGTTTCAAGGGATTTTGACACAAATTGGCACATATATTAAGCTTGAGGAGACGATTTGTCATGATTTTTTCATGTGCAAGACATACCTCTAGCTCCAAGATCAAGGTCACCTCTCAGATCCGGCTAACATAACACTTATTTTTCTTAACAAAGGAAAGGACTGTACATTCGGTGTCTTAACATATATGTAGGGGCATCCGGGTCTTTCATACAATTTTAAGTTCACCAAATAATTAAGTTGGGGATGGGATGGTCATTTAACTTTCTTTTCAACCAATATAGAACACAGGCATTCGACTCATTTGTCAACCCATGATCTTTGGTTTCTTCAACCATTCAAGTGACTTAATTCCTTATGCCATGCAGACATTTCAAAATTTAAAGTGGGAACTCTGAGGCACATGGAAAAAAAGATAACTGAACATAATAAATGTTTTAAACATTTTTTAATAATAAACAATAATGCATATGCACTAGAATCACATAAAGCCTAATAACAATATGTCTGTGCCCTGGACAAGAAGCCCATAAAACTTATAACATTTGCCCAGTTTTATTTTTTTAAACAGCTTTTTATTAGCGGGCCATGCAATTTGGTATATTTGGGAGAGAAAACTGCCAAAAAATGATAGAAATCAAGAATTTTTTAGCACCAATTTCGTAAAAATTAAAAAATAATCATATATACTACGACGACCAATTCATTTTCCAGGCCTGGCTAAATTAGTAAAACACAAAATCGTGACTCAAGATTTTTTTTAGAAATACCATTGTAGACTATGACTGATTCTTATAATGACTTCTATACATGTACATATATAAGTATAATTTACCAGTATCTGACAACAGTTACCTTAATAATATATCTGAACCAATATAAACCAGTTTACCTTAGAAGAACATGTTACTAACAACTTCCCAACTTCATTTGAAACACTCTCCACTGACAAACACCATTATACATATTGTCATCAATCATCAGAGTAAAACTCAGTACTTTGCCAGGACTTAACCTGAGAAATTTCAGAAACTCACAAATCTTAGGTCTGTATACCCAACACTATCGCTAAAGAGGACTGAATTAAAACAGACAGACACCATTTATATACAAAGATTAATCTTTGACACTTGACCTGCATGCTTATTTTGTACCAGGTTCTGCTCTGCCTTGAATTCGGAAAAGTCTATTTTGGAATTTATCGGAAAAGTCTATTTTGGAATTTATCAGAAAAGTCTATTTTGGAATTTATAGGATTTCAAAATCAAAGTACAAAAACTGAGCTACAGAAAGTATAAAGCCTGGTCAGACATCATGAATTAGTAGGCTGTCCTGGCTCTATACTGGTGGAAAATGCTCATCACATTAGGTTACAGCAGGATTTGTAAATTCAAAAATGTAATAACTTATGTTTGCCTATATAAAAGTAATAATAAAACTTGTGTGGAACAAAATGCTCAATTTAACTTACACGTTCATGAAAGCGGCTATGCATCAAATACAAATTATATCATATAGCTCATTTTAGTGAAAAATTCTCTTAACCTGAATGAAATCTTGTATATTAAAGTGGAAGAAATTTCCAAATCTCTTAGAAAGGTTAGAAAAATAACTATTTTTTCTATAAAGTGTAAGAAATTTTAAAATCTCTCGAAATAATTTATAAGTAAGAAAAATAACCATTTCTACTGAAAATCAAAAGCGTTTTACATTTCATAAATTTTAGAATCTTACAATAATTTTCTAGGAATACAATAATTATATAGTTTTACCTAAACATCAATCAACTATTAATAACTCTCCACCAGTTCAGTTAAACAGATGAAGCAACGTGTCTTTTATTAAAGCTTACTTAAAACTTAGTCCTATAAATATGACGTCGCTTTGAGATATTTTTGCTTCTGGGCAAAGCAACGCAATATCGAAATTGCTCAAAAAACCATAGCACGTTCCACCAGAAAATCAGGCGGAACGAAAAAAGAATTAAGACAGCGTGTGTTTACTTTAATTTTCACCTATTTATGAAAAAAATAAAAACAAATACCTTTAAAGAAAATAATTAAACTGTCACATCAGAAAAATCATGATTAAATCCTCTCATGTAATGAAATTCCTTATACAGCTGATAAACAAATTGCTGCCATACCGTGCGGGAAATCTGATTGGCTAATTCAAATGCAAGCATTTGACTGAGTCAGAAAATTGTAACGGAATATTATATAATCAAATAATTGCCCATGCACCATCAGCGTGTGTTTACATGTATTTTCCGTTCAAAAATTTGGAATCAATCTGTAAAGTGCCTTACTTAGCCAGTATGGTCGATAGACAAAAATAGATTGATGTTTATTTTTAATTGATAAGTACGATAAGTACATTGTTTGAGAGTTTTTGTTTATGATTGAGCATGAAATTGAAAGAAAAGAACATAAGATTTTAAATAAAGCTTGAAAGGCAAGACAATAGACATTTTTTAAAAAAAATTTATGATGAGCAATAACTTTTAGACGTCAGGCTTGACCGACAGAAACTATAACAAGCCTGTTACGTCTGATATATTGGACTAACTTAAACTGTGCTCCTCTCTTTTAAAAAAAAGACCCACGAAAACATACTAGTAAAATAAGACAATTTGTTACCAAAAAATCTTTTAAATCAGAAGAATTCATAATCATAACATAATCCAAAATAAAATTACCCTATCATTTACAAAACGCAGACACTCTTTTCAGACAAGCATCATACTTTAAATAGTTTAGCACATGACAAAATTCACATTTTCTGAGATCTGGATAGTTTATTAATTGTTTAAGGGGTGTCAGTATAAAAATAGAAAATTCAAAAATGTAGTGTTGTCAAACTCAACTGCAATGCCATACAGGTTCCCTCTCCTGGCCGCCATTTTTAGGGTCATTCTCAATATATCATAATTCATATGCTTAAGATAAGATAAAAATCTCTCATTATTGAATATTTGAGCCGTGTCATGACAAAACCAACATAATGGGTTTGCGACCAGCATGGATCCAGACCAGCCTGCGCATCCGCGCAGTCTGATCAGGATCCATGCTGTTCGCTATCAGTTTCTCTACATGTAATAGGGTTTGTAAGCGAACAGCATGGATCCTGATCAGACTGCGCGGATGCGCATGCTGGTTTGGATCCATGCTGGTCGCAAACCCACTATGTTGGTTTTGTCGTGACACGGCTCATTTGAATTATATATAAAGTACTTGAAGAAATCACTTAATTCCTCATGTATAATAAAAAACATTGCTAAAAGAATCAACAATGTCATGTATGAAAAAGTAGGTGATTTCGGATACAAGTTTTAGTTGTTATTTATTTTTGTTTAAAACTTAAAAATATCAAATGATGTTGAAAAAATGCTCATAGTCATAATAAAATGGGGGAAATATAATTATATGTTTTCATAGTTCTAAGATGAAGACTGGTTTGCGCTTGCTTAAAAATCCCCCTACTTTTGGTCCAAATCCCCTGCTTTTTGAAGCCAAATCCCCCTATCTGGGTGGCTGGAAATATGGCATGTATATAATTCTATCATCTTTGTGAAAACTGATAAAAATCTTTTACACATTGGTGCTACATGTATATAACTATTTTCTTTCATATGTATTAAAGAATTTGACAACTCATCAAAATTAGTTGTTTATATTGATGTTTTCATCTTTTGTCAATTATATATTACATAGAATATTGACCCCCAAAATGGCTGCCACTTTTGGCAAGGGAAGTAAATATTGTAAAAATGGGGAACTATCCAAACAAGTTCACCTTGCAGCAAGCTCTAGTCTAGTGTTATAAGAAATGGTTATCACAACAAGTCAACCAAAGCCTTATTGAGGATTCAAAAACAAATATTATGCACTAGTAACAAAAATCTTAACATTTTTACAAACTTAAAACAAATGTGTTGATTCTAAAAGAAATATTTTTCATTTAGAAAACAAAAAAGACAAAATAATTACACATCTACTCTTGTTCCAAACTCTCACCATGAAGCTAAAATGATAGATCATAATTCGAGGGTTTGATGCAAAAGGGTTGTAACTCTAATGACAAAAAGAAGAGCTTACAACCCTTTTGCATCCAGCAGTCAATATGTAAAAAGGTTAACAATACTCACATGTACTAAATGATACCATGGTATATTTCAGACATTCTAACATTAAATTCAAACAGAAACAATTTAAACAAATGATATGATCATACAAAAAGTTGACACTTTCATACTTACAAAATAAGAAATTTATTCGAAGAAAGCACGCTAAAAATAGTGATAATATTAAATAAAAACAAACACTAAAAAATGGAACATAACAAACAAAATACTGATTTTTTTATCGATAATTACTTCAACACAAGTTTATTTGGCTACGGTTATATCAAAAGAGTTGGGAGACGCCAAAATTGTGTTTATTTTGGAAGTTGTGTTTTATTCAGTATAAGTTAAGATATGTCAGTCAACAAGTGTAATAATCTACTGTTCATAGGAAATCGTGACTATTTTGGTATGCCACAAATTAACCTTAGCTACAAAATGGAGTTTTATAATGACTTTTAAGCTACCATATTGATCTTAACCATAAAATTGAGTTTTACAGAGATTTTAACTATGCCACAAAACTGACCTTAGCCACAACATGAAGGTCTGTAGAAACCTTTAGCTTTGCCACAAAATTGACCTTAGCCACAAAATGGAAACTTGCAGAAATCTTCTGTGAAACCACAAATTTTACCTTAGCCACAAAATGGAGCTTTGTAGAAACCTTTAGCTTTGCCACAAAATGGAGTTTAGCCACAAAATTGACCTTAGCCACAAAATGGAGCTTTACAGAAACCTTTAGCTTTGCCACAAAATGGAGCTTTGCAGAAACCTTTAGGTTTGCACAAAATTGACCTTAGCCACAAAATGGAGCTTTGTAGCAACCTTAAGCTTCACCACAAAATTGACCTTAGCCACAAAATGGAGCTTTGCAGAAACCTTTAGCTTGGCACAAAATTGACCTTAGCCATAAATTTGAATTTTTCAAAAAGTACAAAAAAATTATAAAATATAAGACCCTAAAACATACACGTAGCCACAAAATTTAGCTTTATAAAAACAGTCAGGTTTGTCACAACAATATTACATAATGCCATAAATCTGACTAGGCACAAATAATAACATGTAAGTGTTACTGCAGAAATGTTGAGTTTTCTTTTTCCACAATTTATTATTCCAAAATGTTATACCCACTGTACCTAATGTTCACCTAGCTACCTTACATTTGTATCTGTGAACATAATTAAATCAAATACATGATGTATACTGGATCTGGGCCACTTGCTGGGCAAAAATCTAATTATTTTGTCGTAGCAAACAACTGGGGTGCCTACAGAAACGAAGCCATGAAACTTATGAATATGTTGGAACAAATAGAACATAATTAATTATGTACCTACCAATGTTGAGATTAGTTCAAAAGCACAAGTGGGTGTGTTAAAATGCTTAAAACACCAAAGATATTTTGTCAAGAGTAAAAAATAAAATCGCCTGTAAGTGATCCTTGCCGGCAAGTGGTCCAAATCCAGTATGTTTTAAAATAGGAATGTTTTTCTACCTGTAAAATAAAGAACCTGAATAAAACAAGAATATCAGACACGCCACTGTGTGCTTCCCGGACCTAATCAACCTAACACCCAGCCAATGAGTGATACCAATACATCAAATATCAGTCAATAAATGAAGGTGCCATAAGATTGGGCAAGTAAGTGTGACAAGATGGAAGAAAGGACAAATTGAGAGCTTCATAAAATATCGGGGTAGGGGACGAGGGGAGCATAAAACTACAATTTCTTAACATCCAGGAACGCTTCAGAATCTTAGCAACATACAAGTGCATACAAACTGTATTCAAAACATGGCATTATTTTCTACACTATGTTAAGATGCTGACAGAAAAAACTAGAGCTGAACAAAAATATGCCCCATAACAAAAATACAATGTGTACTCATAGCAACGTGTTTACACACAATATATACTACTTTTAATACTACAATGTGAGTTGATACACATCATCTCATCGCACATCTTCATCACGATGAGTATGAACAGTTTTGTATCAAAATCCTTCGTGTAGTCCATTCAAAGTAGTGAAAAATGACGCTTATTCAGAAGACTTAATTTTCCTAGCGTAATACACTTCATATATCACATTTACTATATTTATTGGAAAAAAAACAAATATCACAATCCACTTGGACCCGCTTGATCGCTTCCGCCTCCAGATGCTCCCCCTAAAATACATAAGGACATCAAAATTAAACTTTGCTTCATGACTCATAGACCGTTTTTATTATCTCAACACATTTAAGTATTGTAATTGGTCAGTCAACAGTATAGTTTGGTTACGCTGGTCACAGGTCAAGGCTAACCTGGCTCTATACTGGTGAACTAGAGGTCATTACTGAATATCATGTATAGCACTGTAAAAGTGTCATGTTAAACAGTGTTTCACTACAAATACACCTCTAAGTTGTGCATAACAACACACACTCAGATTGAAACTAATCATATTTTTACTTTAAATTTTCAATTCTGTCACCTTTGACAGCACAAGAATTTCTCTTACCTATATAACTACATTGTTTTGTATTGCCAAAACAATTTTTACACAAGCTGACCATTATTGTTTAGAGTGTGTAAACAAAACACCAGAATATTTCACATCAACTTGTTTAAAATGCTTTACAGACTTAATTCATGAGCTTGTTTCAAGTAACACAGCCATAAACTCATTATTTCAAGTAACACGGCATGAGCTCATTATTTGAAGTAACACAGCCATGAACTCATTATTTTAAGTAACATGGTCAGTGTTCGCGTTTACTGAGTAAACATATCAATTTACTCTCTAAAATTGCCAGGGAGGAAAGAAAAAAAGGGCTGTTGAGTCCCTGGGATGAAACACTTTTTCCCCGATAATTGGTCAATTCTCTCTTAAGTTTTTTTGCTCTGCTTGAAAATGATTTTCTATTCACTTTAAATAAATTGTATTATAAGAACTTGACTTTCACCTCATTTTCATTTGTTCCTTTCTCATTAGCAATGCAGATTTATATCCCAAATGTAGACTAGGAGCAAATGCTCGGCCTCGTTTTGGGCCAACCTATCAATGGTATCCGCGAACATCAACAGTCACAAATTTGATTGTATTATGAAGTTATGCAAACATTGACATTTTTGTAATTGAGGACTCGTTCCATTTGAATTGGGACGTAACAGATCTATTAGCACTGAGTCCCAGGTACTCAGTAAAGTTAGGGAAAATCGCTAACACTGATGGTCATGACCTCATTAGCCATGAACTCATTATTTCAAGTAGTAGGGCATGAGCTCATTATTTCAAGTAACACAGCCATGAACTCATTATTAAAGAAACTAGGTCATAAACTCATTATTTCAAGTACTACAGTTATGAGCTCATTTCTTCAAGTAACACAGCTATGAGCTCATTATTTTTAGTAATACAGTTATGAACTCATTATTTCAAGTAATACAGCAATGAACTCAATATTTCAAGTGATACAGCCATAACTCATTATTTCAAATAATGCAGTTATGAGCTCATTATTTTAAGAAATGCAGTTATGAGATCACACACTGCCATGAGCTGATTATTTCAAGTATGGACTTTTTTTCAAAATATCAAAATCCTGTCGTTCTGAGAACTAAATACATGTATCACATCAATAATAAAGATTTCAGGCCAAATTTTGTTTGATATGATTCATTTGTATATAGTTCTAAGAATATATAGGATAGAATGTAGTGATTATATCATTTTAAGAATATTCAATTATTATACAATATCTATAGTAGTTTTAAACCTTTAAGCTAGTTTTATGACATGCTTGTTTCACAGTTGTTTCTATATCATCTACCTACCATCATCAGCTGGCCCATCACCTTTATAACATTTGCCTTTATGACCTCTACAGTGACCTGTGCAATCATCATCTTCATCTGAGGACTCTCCAAACATCCTTGGCTTTTCATATATACAACAACCTGAAAAATAAAAAGCGAATTTTTCAAGGATACCATCATATACTTAACTTAACAAACACAGCTCAATGGTCATGTCCATTTTTCAATCTGGATAAAACAATCAATTTTTTATGGGGAAAACTGAAAAAAAATATGCATGATTCATCATTGAATAACAAATATTGCATGTAGACTTCTGACTATAATCAAATGGCGATAAATAGATGTGCCAAATATTTATGGTTTGCACTGGTCACATGGGTACTAGATGTCATGGGTCAGCTCAACCATGTAGGCAGTATCAATTGGAAATTGGTTTTACGCAACAAAAGATACGATCCTGTAATTATATAAACATGCAATTCAGCAGACATTTCCACAAAAAATCTTACGACAATTTTTTGTCGTAAGAGAAATCTTACGATAAATCTCCTTTTCACAAAAAATCTTAAGAAAATCTTAAGTGCAAAATCTGTCGTAACTTTACGATAGGTCTTCCCTGTTTGTAAGTGTAATTTTTTCTCTCTTAAGGGTAAAATATCATGTATCTCTTACCTAAACTGAATAAAAACAAACAAAAAGTTGGTGGACAACTAAATATTAAGCAAACAGTATGCTATAAATAACACAAATTGAGGTATAATTATTTTTCAACATATACATTTGTGACGTCATGACTTGATGACGTCACGATGGAGAGGGTTATGAATAGTTTAAAATAATGTGAACTATACTGTAGACTAGTATTATTGAAAACTTATAATTTGTACAATTGGTGAGTTCGATTTCATTGCCAGCATGTACTAGTGGTACCCTTTTTATTTATTAATAACATAGTAGACCTTCTTTCTGAATCTTTTAGATATATATAGTTATCTTCAATCAAGATATAAATTATATCAGTTTGAATCATTTTTTGTTCTTATTGAAATTTGATTGTGTTCAATAGATATTTCAAGCTCTTGATTACTTGATTTTAAAACGGGAATCAAATATAGAGCATGCACATCACTATCAAATGAACGTTGCTAGGGATGTTTTGTCGTAAGATTTATCGTAAGTGAATTTTTTATCTTAAGATAAAATTTTAACTTACGAGTGGCTTTGTGAAAATGACTTAAGATTTAACTTACGATTATCGTTAGTGAAAAACTTAAGATAAATCGTAAGATTTTTTGTGAAAATGTCTGCAGGGTACATAATGGCAGAGAAAAGCGGAAGGAGTTATGACTGGTTATTGACCTGTGCAAAATTAAATCGAATTCAACGAAAAAGAGTTTTTAATACCAACAACTACATATGACACCCTGTAAGAGTACCATTTCAAACTGATAAAATTTGCTATGTGCGTGTATGTGTGTGTATTTAAAAATGATATAATCTAGGATAGTTTATTGGAAGTGTAGGTTAAGTATAGGTGAATAAACATTCGCCAGTACAATGTAATAAATATATATACCCTATGACATAGATAGCAGACTTAAGGCTACCATACTCACATTTTGATTTCTTTTTATTCAAATGTTCATTATCCACTGTTTCATTTGACCATTTCACCTTCTTGTCATTCTTTGGTTTACGTAACTTCAGTTGTAATGTTGGACTTGTTGTCCTCTGAAATCATAAAACAAAATTGTATTTTAAAAAGTCATCACTTGTCATCTTTCAATGTAGATTCCCATAAAACCATTTATCAATTTTAGGGGAAATTTCTAAATATATACCAACTGAATGGAAAAGAGTCAACTCGGCCCTATACCAACTCGGCACGGGTCAACTCGGCCCACTTTAAAATATATAAATAACGTATTAACATTGCTTTGCATGTTGTTACAGTAAATGAATAATAAGAAATATCTTATTATTATATAGTTATACATTGTAGTTCTGCCGAAATAAAGTATTTAGAAGAAAAAATTGTTATTTATTTGTCTTATATTAATAAACTCTCTCTGTTGAACTACGTAAATAACCGAGGTATATTGAGTGAAAAAGCAAGAGTTGTTATCCTTAGTTTCCCTTCGCTTGCAAAAGAATGCAAATTTAGCCGTGTTTAAATCGCTAGTTTGGGGCGATTAAATGTAAAGCATGATTTTAAAATTTGTTTCACCAATTAAAAGCTGGTGATCTTAGCTTCCTCTCAGTATATATTTCAACACATTGTTCGACACTGAATGTATTTAAATTTACGGTTAAACCTACCATGAGTCAGAAATACACTGCAATCGATAATTTTTACTCGCAATTCTACTGATAAGAAAAGCCTGTCTGCTGCTTGTTCTGAAACTGTCAATCCGTGTTTTATAAATAATTTCATAATAACAATAAAAAGTGTTAACACAAACCTTAATATTAATAATTAAAAAGTGGGCCGAGTTGACCCGTGCCGAGTTGGAATGGGGCAGAGCTGACTCGGGGGCCAAGTACGTTTTAGGGCCGAGCTGACCCGCATTCCGACTGAATAGCACACAAAGCAAAACATGATTAGACCACAATGTTGTGTAAAAAAGGTTCTGGTACCAATCATAATTTTAGTTTCTTTTATATGTTTTTTTCTTTATTTTTTATTTTGCCATATTTAACTCATTTTTAGGTTGTTGTTTTTTTAGTAACAGTTACAAAGCTAACTTTATTTTGAGATTCTGACCGACCCAAAACAAACATCTCAGAATCTAGCCATGGCCCATCAAAAGTATTTTGACTAGAATGCTGCTTTACGTTAAAATAAGAAAACAGGTCTAGAAAGTCAAGTATTAAAGAGATGTGTCTTTGGGAGCTATGATATCATGTTTCACAGAGTAAGTTAGACTCTAATAGTTGCTAAAGGCTGTACAGATGTTTAAAGAGTTGTTAAAATTACCCGACTAAACGGCAGTTTATTCGAAATGAATGATTTTTTTTTGTATTGCGCATATAAATGTGATCAAATTATATTATAATATAGAAAATCAAGTATTAAAGAGATACCCCACCCACTTTAACACGCAATTGAGCAATTTTCATTAAACTTTTTGAATACCTCAACTTCTACAACTTGTGTTGAGCTTGAGGATGATGTAGTTGCTTCTGCCATCATATTAAAATTCACAACTCTTGCGATCACATCTCAAAGTCGCGACAAATAGCAATTTAAATGATAATTTTAATGATTATTTCACCGGAAGTTTACAATTTGTATCCAATTAATTTCCGTACCGTTCCGTACCATAAAAATCCGGTCCGTATTGAATCTAAAATCGAATTGTTTCTTTATCATATATACACTCACTGGTGAAATGATTGATTTACTATTGTGATACTATCATAACGATTAAGAATACAATAAAAATTGCAATTGAGAAACAATATATAGATATATGTGATTCTGTGAAAAGAAGTATTGAATTGTCGGCATGGCCAAGTGGTTAACAGTCAGGATAGTAATCTAAGATCACTAGCGGCATTGGTTCTAACGCTGTTAGTGTTAAGTCAAGACAACAAGAAATATTACACTCTGCTCATTACTGGTTGGTTCCAGCTTGGAATACATTTATGTCTTCCCAGGTTCCAGGAACAGACTTCAGGGGTGTCTAATAAGCTTATAAAGGTAACTCCTACACCATCCAAAGTTCTATGCATAAACTAAACAAGTACATGTATTCATAAACATAACAAAGTAAATTGGATTAGAAGTACTCATTTTTAATACTTCTGCCAGAGGGCTTCATCAAAATATCTTTGAAGAAGATAGGTTAGTTCGCATATATACATGTATATTTAGCTCCATGGTTAGTCTTTTCAGAAAATATTAAAAAAGTATAAAATAATCTTATATTTGTTAAATAGTCTCATTGGTGTCATATGACTTGAATTTTCTCCAGTTTTGCACTGTTTAATAGCAAAATCAACCTAAATCAACAGCTTTTGCCAGCAACATTGCAGAGCCTCGATCATACATGTAGTCTTCTTCAAAGCACCCCTTTCTTTCTGTCCAGAAAGTCAGATTTGTACCACTGCATGTATTATCATTTTATTTGACTGAATATCAGTTTAATTTTATCTTATTTTATCTTTTTTAACATTTAGAACTAGAGCTGTCAAAGGTGAGTAACCAATACCCCCATTATTTCCATGATACATACTTTTATATAGGTCCAGTTATCAATATTTTCAAAGGTGAACATTTTTAAACTAAATTTAAAGAAAGTCCTCCAATAACTATTAAATATTGTGGACACAAAATTGTCGACATTTGACCTACACTTGACCAGGCACAAGAATGGCATGCATTCTGTACAGACATAGGAGTAATAGCCAATACAAAATTGCCTGGCATTTGACCTCCAAGGATGACCTTGACCTTGAGCAGGTATGGCAGCAACAGAGATTCATTCTGCACATCACCTAGTTAAAGTGAACATTTGAGCCAGTCTTAAAGAAAATCCTTCAAGGGATAAAGGAGTTACAAGGGGAGGACACAAATATGTCTGATATTTGACCTTCAAGGTTGACCTTGATACAGCACAACTAGCAGGAGTACTACACACCATCTTGTTAAGGTGAACACTTGAGCCAAGTTCAGAGAAAATCCTTCAATGGGTAAATAAGTAAGGAGTGGCTGGGATAATGGTGATGTAACAATCTGATTCCAGAATAGCCCCTCCCAGGAGATATAATAAAGAAAGGTCTGGTGGCACAAGCTATCATGCAAGCAAGGATGTTGAATTACTTATGGCAGCCATAGCAATGGCAGACATTTGATTTGGAGCATTAGCCTGGTGCAAAAAAAACCAAACACAATTGTACTTCACTTTCCACAGAAATTGATACTTACTATTGTCTTATGTACTTAAAAAGGTCCAGAAAAATTGTGAGTTCTTATTGCATTTAAATGGCATAAAGGTAGGAGTACACATAGCTTCCTGATACAGAATCATTCAGCTTTCTTTCCAGGACTTAAATCAAAAGAACTGAGGCGCTTGTCAGTCAAAGACTGTATAACTATAGTAAAGCTTTGAAAGTTGGCAAAAGCAGCACAAAAGTATCACTTTTAGTAGATTTTATTTAGTATTATCTTTGTACAATTATCATCATATCAATATATACATAAACAACAAATCATGATATCATATAATAATGTCAGACAATCACAATTACTTAACAATCCTACTTCTGGTTGTTGTATATAAAAAACTTTAACAATTCATACATTAGTTTTCCCCTTAAAATTCACTTTCAAGAATTTTCTTTCTCCAATAATTTCTATAATTTACCGTTTAGGTCCGTGTGTGTGTAATGGTTGAGACTGATTTTTATTTTCAGCAAAGTTTTAAACAAACTTTATAAAGGTTGCCTAGACATCAAGGTCAGTATCTTAAGTTACCGACTGAAAGTCCAGTTTGTCCTAAATCTTGTTTATTGAAAACCAAAATATGAATTGAAAAGTTCTTTTAGCAAAATTTCTACAAATAAGAAAGCACTGGGAAATAATACACACAAATATACAAATTAATTCTCATTTATCACAATGCACAGGGAAAATTATCTTAGTATGAAACAGTACATGATAATTTTCTTATTATCAAAACAGTACAATGATAATTTTCTTATTATTAAAACAGTACAATCATAATTTTCTTATTATCAAAACAGTTCAATAAGAATTTTCTTATAATCAAATTACTAGTAGAACAATGATAATTTTCTTATTATCAAAACAGTACAATGATAATTTTCTTATTATCAAAACAGTACAATGATATTTTCTTATTATCAAACAGTACAATGATTTTTTTATTATCAAAATGAGAACCTTCTTCATCACTAAATAGCAGTGATAACTTTCTAATTATCATAAACCAAAGTGATAATTTCACATTATCAGACAGAACAATGATTAGCTTCTTATTTTCAAGTAACATAATGATAAATACATTATCAAAAGAAAATGATAATTTTCTCATTAGCGTGTAACACAAAGATAATATTTCCATTATCATTAAACACAGTGATAATTTAACTATCAAATTGCAAAATGTTTTGTTTTTTTCCTAATTATCAAATAGCATGATCATTTTTTCTTAGCAAATAGCAAAATAATTGATAATTTTCTTATGTAGGTAATTTTTCCATTTATATGGCATAACAGAATTTTGTATTATTTTACATTATCACATAGCATTATGCTTAATTTTCAAAAATCACATTCTAACATCTGCTTCACATTTACACAGAATATCTATATCTCTAATGATTAACATATGATAGAAGAAGATTTTTCCATACATATATTGGTGACAGTTTTTCTATTATACATCAACTTATGAAATCATTTCTTATGACAAACTTGTACACTTCATAGGGGGATAACTTATGATAAAATGTGTGATCCTTTCAAGTTCAGATTTATGTTAAAACAAACATCAAATATTCGTCTCAATAAAAATGGATAATGGACTGCTCTGAAAATGGAAGCTAGATGAGTCCATTTAAGAAATTTAGCAGGTGAAGGGTTTAAAAAAATTGTGAGAAAATGTAACACTGTATGACCTTGACCTTGTGAACTTTATAGTGTTTAAAAAATAAAATGAATACTTTCCAGTAAAGCAATACAAATTTCAGTATATTTAAAGACTGTGAAAATTGAAAATATTTTAAAACAAATATTCATAAATAAACCATAAAAGATAAATAAAATAAAATTATGATTTTTTTCACAAAATAATGTACACATTTGAATATAGAAATAAAATTATGAAGCACAGTGGAGGGGTCTATTTAAAATGTAAATCATAACCATGTTAAAATGGTATCACTAAAAATATTAATTACATATTTTATGAAATTGCACATAAGAAGTTGATTAAAAAGTACCTAATAAAAGCATTTACATTGTACGTTAAAATAAAGTATCAAACATACAAAAAACTCTTTATTTAAAACAGAAAGTCAACATAAAATACAATAAAAATTTATTTCATTTATCTTTCAACTTTATATATTTGTAACAAGAGGGCCATGATGGCCCTGAGGTCGCTCACCTGTATATAGGCCTCCCCAAACCCCCCCCCCCCCCCCCAAACGTTGCAGGGCCAATTTAACCAAAGGGCTTTTATTTGCACAAACTTGGTAGACACCCATAAGAAGATGTTTCATGCTTAACATCTAAGCTCTAGCTCATTGGGCTATTTAAAAGAAGATTTTTTTTAAGTTTTTACTATACACATATAGTTAAAAACAATGACACCCCTGGGGCTGGGCCAGTTATGACCCCAGGGTTTTTATTTGAACAAACTTTGTAGACACTTACTAGAATATGTCTCATGCTTAATATCTTAACTCTAGCTATTTGGGTTTTTTCAAAGAAGATTTTAAGTTTTTGCTATACACATATAAGGAAAATCAATGACCCCGGGGCGGGGTCAATTTTGACCCCAGGTCTTTTATTTGAACAAACTTTGTAGACACTCACTAAAAGATGTTTCATGCTTAATATCTTAACTCTAGCTATTTGGGTTTTTTCAAAAAAAAATTTTTAAGTTTTTGCTATACACATATAAGGAAAATCAATGACCCCCGGGGCGGGGCCAATTTTGACCCCAGGGCTTTTATTTGAACAAACTTGGTAGACACCTATTAGAACATGTTTGATGCTAAATATCTTAACCATAGCTCTTTGAGTTCTTTAAAAGAAGATTTTTTAAGTTTTTACTATATGCATATATAGGGAAAATCAATGACCCCCCGCGGCGGGGTCAATTTTGACCCAAGGGCTTTTATTTGAACAAACTTGGTAGACACTTATTAGAACATGTTTAATGCTAAATATCTTTGCTCTAACTCTTTTGGTTCTTTAAAAGAAGATTTTTTTAAGTTTTTACTATATGCATATAGGGAAAATCAATGACCCCCTGGGACGGGGCCAATTTTGACCCCAGGGCTTTTATTTGAACAAACTTGGTAGACACCTATTAGAACATGTTTGATGCTCAATATCTTAGCCATAGCTCTTTGAGTTCTTTAAAAGAAGATTTTTTAAGTTTTTACTATATGCATATAGGGAAAATCAATGACCCCCCGGGGCGGGGCCAATTTTGACCCCAGGGCTTTTATTTGAACAAACTTGGTAGACACTCACTAGAAGATGTTTCATGCCAAATATCTAAGCTCTAGCTCTTATGGTTTTTTTAAAGAAGATATTTAAAGTTTTTTCTTTC